TGTCCCTCAGCTGTGACCGTACGCAACGCAGTGGGCCAGATCCAGTGTCCATGGCTGCACTGCTGACACCTGGCCCATCAGCCGTGACCGTACCCACCGCAGTGGGCCAGGTCCAGTGTCCATGGCTGTACCTGCTGACACCTGGCCACTACCCCTCAGCCGTGACCGTACGCACCGCGGTGGGCCAGGTCCAGTGTCCATGGCTGTACTGCTGTGCCCGGGCCGCTGTCCCTCAGCCGTGACCATCCTACCACGGTGGCCGGGTCCAGTGTCCACGCTGCAGCTGCTATGCCCATGGCCGTGTCGTCAGGTGGTGACGGTGACGGTTCCCACCCGAGGTGTACGGGTTCCAGTGTCAAGGCCGTGCCTGCTGCTCCCTGGCCCCAGGCGGCACCTGGGGCAGTGCAGGGCCGTGGCGAGGTCTCGCCGGTTTTGCTCTTGTCTATGCTGCTTTCCCGGCCTGGGCCCTCTCCCTGCGGCCCTGGGGCACAGGGACCGGACCTGGAACGGAGGTCTTCCCCGCACCTCCAGGCACTGCTCCGTCTGGGGCTCGGCCGACTTCCTGTTTCCTTGGCACTCTCACGCCCCGGACCCAGAGTGGAATCGCATCCTGAAACGCGGACGATCGCCTGAGGAGTTCACAGCTGCTCTTTCCCACGCAGGTTCTAGTAACATCCGGAACCAACTGTGGAAGTTTGAAAACCAGTACCGTGGCCGAGAGCTGCCGGGATTTGTGAACTTTAAGACGTTTGAGACGATTGTGAAACAGCACATCAGAGCCCTAGAGTTGCCGGCTCAGGACATGCTGCACAGGGTGACAGGTGCGTGTGGTGTGGGCGGGCCACAGGTGACAGGTGTGTGTGGTGTGGGCGGGCCACAGGTGGCAGGTGCGTGTGGTGTGGGCAATGCACAGGTGACAGGTGTGTGTGGTGTGGGCGGGTCACCCAGGGGACAGGTGTGTGTGGTGTGGGCGGGTCACAGGGGACAGGTGCATGTGGTGTGGGCGGGCCACAGGTGACAGGTGGGTGTGGTGTGGGCGGGTCACCCAGGTGACAGGTGCGTGTGGTGTGGGCAATGCACAGGTGACAGGTGCGTGTGGTGTGGGCGGGCCACAGGTGACAGGTGGGTGTGGTGTGGGCGGGTCACCCAGGTGACAGGTGCGTGTGGTGTGGGTGGTCATACAGGTGACAGGTGTGTCTGGTGTGGGTGGTCACACAGGTGACAGGTGCGTGTGATGTGGGCGGGTCACCCAGGTGACAGGTGGGTGTGGTGTGGGCAGGCTGCACAGGGGATGGGTGGGTGTGGTGTGGGCGGGTCCCATAGGTGTCAGGTGCATGTGGTGTCTACATTTGCACACCAGAAGCTGGTGTGTAAGACCCACCGCCCCACCAGAAGGCTGCAGGATCCCCAGCGCGGGGTCTTCCCAAGTTCATGGACGGCGCCTGTTCTGAGTAAAGTCTGTGTGCAGCAGAGGCAAAACCAACTCCTGTTTCCATGCCGGGTCCCGTGAGGCCCCTGTGGCCCCTCCCAGACACCCTGGGAGCCCACGGGACATCACGTTTTTGGGCCCCTGTGGACTTAGGTGAACGCTGTGGGCCCAGCTGCCAGGCCCGGGCAGGTGGAGGGGCCGGGCTCTCCCCAGGCGGTCCTGAGCCCAGGGGCAGGGGCAGGGGCAGGGGCAGGGGCAGGGGCAGGGGACGGTGTCTCTGACCATTTTGTGGCCTCCTGTTCTGCTCGGTCCTCCTGGCTCCGTTCCTCCGCCCTCAGACATGGTGCGCGCCGCCTTCACAGATGTGTCAGAGAGAAACTTCCATGAGTTCTTCAACCTGCACAAGACCACCAAGGTAAACCCTGCCCGTGGCAGGCCCCGGCCCCAGCGCCAGAGCCAGGGTGGGTGTGGGGGGACGGCCCCACCTCCCCCAGGTGCGGGGCCCGGGGGCTCCTCCTCTGTGAAGTGAGAACAGGAGACCCTCCCCCACCATGGGGCTGTCAGCCCAGTGTGGGGGGGAAGACACACCTGCTGCCCTGTGTCCCCTAGGCTAAGGGTCCCCTATGCTCTGGATCAGGCATCTCACAGAGAGCCCAGCAGGGGTCCCGGGCACTTGGCTGACGTTGCCCTGGCCCCACCCCCTCCCTGTGGACGCCCTGCTGGCCGTGGCCTCCTCCCCGGCAGGCATCCGAGTCCCACAGGAGAGGTGGACCGGGCTGAGTCCTAGGCCTGAGAGCAGTGTCCTCAGAGGGCCCAGGCTGGGGCGGAGCCAGCTCAGGCGTGGGGCGGGGACTAGGGCTGGGGCGGAGCCAGCTCAGGCGTGGGGCGGGGACTAGGGCTGGGGCGGAGCCAGCTCAGGCGTGGGGCGGGGACTAGGGCTGGGGCGGGGTCAGCTCACGCTTGAGGTGGGTATTGGGGGTCTGAGGCATCGGGGTGGGGTCAGTTCAGGCACAGGGCAGGGTCAGCTCAGGCGCGGGGCGGGGACGGGGGCTGGGGCGGAGCCAGCTCAAGCTTGGGATGAGGATTGGGGCTGGGGCAGGGTCAGCTCACATGTAGGGCGGGGACTGGGGGACTGGGCAGGGTCAGCTCAGGCACAGGGCGGGGACTGGGGCTGGGGCGGGGTCAGCTCACATGTAGGGCAGGGACTGGGGCTGGGGCGGGGTCTGCTCCCCTCACGCCTCCCTGGGGAGCCCCACTGACCTCAGCGTCCCCTCCCCTGGGCTGCCCCGGCCTGAGGCCCTGCGGGCGCCTGCGTCCCCGTGAGGCCGGCTCCTTCCCCACCCCTGCCTGTGCTTGTCTCCTCCCCAGTCCAAAATCGAGGACATCCGCCTGGAACAGGAGAAGGAGGCCGAGCGCGAGATCCGGCTGCACTTCCGGGTGGAGCAGGTCGTCTACTGCCAGGACCAGGTGTACCGGGGCGCGCTGAAGAAGGTCCGGGAGGCGGAGGCCGAGGAGGAGAAGAAGTCTCAGAGGTTCGGCGGCTCCTCCTCCGGACTCGGCTCCTCCCAGGACTCCTGCTCCTTGGCCGAAATCATCGAGCACCTGGTGGCCTACTACCAGGTGAGCCTGGGAGCGCGGGGCCAGCGGCTCCTCCTGCCCTCCTGCGGTGCCTCTGCGGGCCTCGATCTGCCCCGTCTCTGGTCTCTGGGGGCATCACCGCCAGCTCCATCCCCCCACCCCTGGCTGTGCCCCTCCGGAGCAGCTGGACGCCAGGCACACAGCAGAGGCGGGGACTTTGCGTGCCCTGTGGGCTGCTTCTCCTCCGGGGTGGGACTTCCTGGAGGTCTCCGTGCAGCCTGGCCGGGCCCTGCACCCTGCGGGTGGCAGCTGTCCACTGGGCCACGTGGCCAGGGACAGGGACACAGCACAGCTCAGGGGGTGCATGGGCAGTGAGGGTGCGGCCAGGTGAACCCCCGGGACCTCCTGGGTGACCAGATGCTCCACACCCCAGCGCTGGGCCCTGCAGCCGACGGGGCGGGGCTGCCCCAGAGGCCGGCGTGGGCGTCCTCGGGCTGAGGCCGAGCCGCCCGTCTGTGCTCCCAGGCTGCAGCGGGAGACCGCAGGGAGCAGCAGGGCTCCAAGCCGAGGTCACACTGCTTCCTGCTGATGGGGGGGCCGGGGCGTGCGTGGCTGCTTCTCCCCGCCCCAGCGCAGGGCCCGGCTCCCCGTCCTTCCTGCTGGGACCGCCGTGAAATGCCCTGCACTGGACCCGGACGTGGCCTGCAGGCCGCAGCAGGTCCACGTTCTTGGGCGTCACCTGCGCCGGCCGCCTCCTGGATGTGGCCTCTGCCCAGCCTGAGAGCCACGCTCGGGCCCCGCCCTCCCCAGCCCCATGCCCCTCCCCCGGCTGGCCTCTCTGCAGGGTCCTCCTGGCTGCAGGTGGAGCCCCCAGCCTGTCCTTCTGTGCCTGGCGCTCTCCTGGGCACAGCTGCCCCAGAGCTGTGTGTGCGGAGCAGGGGTCTGAGCGGTGTCCCTGCAGACGTGTCCTGTCCACGCCCCGTCCACGGAGAGTCTGCTCCTCTGTGTGCTGCTCCCGCCCCGTCCACAGAATGCCTGCTCCTCTCTCTGTGCCCCGCCCTGTCCATGGAGTGCCTGCTCCTCTCTGTGCCCCGCCCTGTCCATGGAGTCCCTGCTCCTCTCTGTGCCCCGCCCTGTCCATGGAGTCCCTGCTCCTCTCTGTGCCCCGCCCTGTCCATGGAGTGCCTGCTCCTCTCTGTGCCCCGCCCTGTGCACGGAGTGCCTGCTCCTCTCTGTGCCCCCACCCTGTCCACGGAGTGCCTGCTCCTCTCTGTGCCCCGCCCTGTCCAGGAGTGTCTGCTCCTCTCTGTGCCCCGCCCTGTCCATGGAGTCCCTGCTCCTCTCTGTGCCCCGCCCCATCCATGGAGTGCCTGCTCCTCTCTGTGCCCCGCCCTGTCCACGGAGTGCCTGCTCCTCTCTCTGTGCCCCGCCCTGTCCATGGAGTCCCTGCTCCTCTCTGTGCCCCGCCCTGTCCACGGAGTGTCTGCTCCTCTCTCCTCTCTCTGTGCCCCGCCCTGTCCACGGAACGCACGTGCTCTGCTCTGTCCCAGCTCCTGCTAACAGTGGCTGAGCTCCTCGCCCACCTGGCTGCTCCCTAATGGATTTTGTGTGTGGAATGGCCGGGTTCCTCTCCCAGGGCTGATGCTCCTGGGCCGGTTCTGGAGGGGAAACCGAGGCACACAGGGGGCAGAGCTCGCTCAGCCTGGGACCAGGGGCTTCCTGGAGAGGCCCGACCCGGGAGGTGATGCTTTCATGGAGGCTTGGGGAGGGGGAGGGGAGGCTGGGACCTGGGCTGTGCCTGTAGGCGGCTCCGAGGCCCCTCCCCCAGCCCCAGGGCCCTGGCTCTGCCTGGAGCAGCCCCGCGGGTGCAGACGTCAGCCGGGCGGGGCTGTGGGCGGGTGGTGGGGTGGGCTGTGGCCCTCGGCCCCCCGCCCTTTGCCCAGCGGGCTCAGCGCTGCCGTGGGCGGCCGCGTCCACGCTCAGGGAGCTGCTGGGAGCGCAGCGGGCAGCCGCCCGGCCACCCTCCCCTCTCCCGGCCTCCCCGGGCGCTCCGGGCGCTCCGGGCGGCCCCTGCAGCCCCGCTCTCCCTGCAGGAGACGGGCAGCCGCCTGTCCAGCCTCGTCCCGATGCTCGTGCAGTTCTTCGTGCTGCAGTCCTACGGGCAGGAGCTGCAGAAGTCCATGCTGCAGCTGCTGCACAACAAGGAGAACTGCGGCTGGCTGCTGAGAGAGCGCAGCGACACCAGCACCAAGAGGAGGTTCCTGAAGGAGCGGCTGGCGCGGCTGGCCCAGGCCCGGCGCCGGCTCGCCAAGTTCCCGGGCTGACGGCTCTGCCAGCCGGGCAGCGGGCGGCCCAGACCCCCCCCCCCCCCCCGTGCTGTCCCTTCTGGAACCGCGGCTCAGCTCAGAGCTCCTGGGGACGCCGGCAGCCTCTCCTCCTTTGTAATAAACGTGTGAGCCTCTGCCGGGTGCCGGGTGCTGGGGCGGGGGCCCCTGGAAGTGGCAGCGGAGTGGGCTGAGCCCGGAGCAGGACCCTCACTCCTGCTGAGCTGGGAGCAGCCCTGGTTCCCAGAGGTGGCGCCCTCTCCCGGCCGCCCTGGGCATCCCCCCCCCCACCGCCCTCGCTCCTGCTGAGCCCCGCAGCAGCCCTGGTTCCCAGAGGTGGCGCCCTCTCTGGCCGCCCTGGGCATCCCCCCGCCCTCACTCCTGCTGAGCCGGGCAGCAGCCCTGGTTCCCAGAGGTGGCGCCCTCTCTGGCCACCCTGGGCATCCCCCCGCCCTCGCTGCTCGCTGGCACCTGCCTCAGGACGCTGCAGGACCAGGATGGTCAGCGGTGTCCCTGTGGCCTGGGTTCTGCTTCGCCCCGTTACTCTGCCCCCGTGATGGGTAGAGGTTGCAGGGTGACATGGCGTCGGCGCTCCTGGGAAGCGGTTGGCCCAGGGTGACCTGCCGGGACCCGCCGAGCTACCCGGTCCTGTGCTGACCAGCCACCCCCAGGGCAGAGTGCGCCGTCCCTCCCCGTCCGTGTGCAGAGTGCGGTGGGTGCGTGGAGGTGGCTCTGGCTCCTGCTCGCCCAGGCCTCGCTCAGGGCTGAGCACTGGGGGTCATCAGTGTGACGTCAGGTGCCTGGGCCTCCCAGAAACACTCGCGTGCAGGAGCCCCCGTGGGTCCCCAGGCGCTCAGCTGCCAGGCGGGTCTCATTCTTTCAAAACAGATTTATTCATCTGAGAGGCAGAGTCACAGAGCGGGAGACCCAGAGCGAGCCGTCTTCCATCCGCTGGTTCCCTCCCCAGATGGCCACAACAGCCAGGCCCGGGCCGGGGGAAGCCAGGAGCTCCATCTGGGTCCCCCATGGGGTGGGAGGGGGACACTGGGGCCATCCTCCACTCCCTCCCAGGCACCGTAGCAGGCAGCTGGATCGGAAGTGGACAGGGGGACTCGATCCGGGGCCCACATGGGATGGGAGAGGGGTCACGGACGGCTGCACCCGCCCCACTGCTGCAGGCCCGAGGGCTCCGAGTCCTGGCTGAGATCCGCGTCTCCCGAGTCAGCTGGCGGGCGGAGGAGGCGTTTTCCAACATGGGATCTGTGACAGGAGTGGCCAGTGCACTGCTCTGTGCGTCCTCACTGCCCGCGTCCCGGCCCTGCGTCCTGCACGTGTGCCCCAGCTCCCAGGCTGCGTGGACAGGCGCCCAGGGCGGGCTCCCCACCAAGTCCATGTGGCCGCCTCTGCCTGCCCCCGACCTCTCAGCGCCTTGGTGTTGGGTGCCTGCCCTCTGCAGGTGATGTCACCCGTGCCAGGCCCCATGGTGGGAGGAGGCCAGAGAGGGCGGGTAGCCTCCCCGGAGTGGCCTCCGCAGGCCCGGGCTCCCGTGCTGGGAGTGGTGCCCCCCGGAGGCCCCGGCCCACTGGGTGTGAGCTGGGGCAGGAAGTGGTTGGCCGCACCCTGGCCAGGCAGGAAACGTGGTGCGCAGGGCCTCGCAGGAACCCGTGTCCCCAGGTGCAGCAGTGTCTGCTCCCGACGTGGGCCCACGGAAACATCACGGGCACATTGTGGGGACTTTATGGGGTCATCACAGGGACATCACAGGGACATAAAGGGGACGTCTCGGCACATCACGGGGACCCGCCATGCTGCGGGGTGCTGGGCTGCGGGCCGAGTGTTTGTCTCCCCTCACCGGGAGCTCTTCCTGCGTCTCCTGCCCAGCTGTGGAGGCCTTTGCTTCCGCGGGCCACGCACTGCAGCCCCTGCTGCCCCCGTGTGGCCGAGGGACGCAGGACAGAGCCAGGATTCTGTCCCAGCTCCTGCTGTACCGTGGCGCCAGCCCCAGGACCTCGCTCGGAAGCCGCTGAGGACACGGCTCTGCCCCGTGACCCTGCAGGGCCCGGGAAGAAACCTGGCAGGTGGACGTGGCTCAGGGCCGGCCGACCCCAGGACAGGGCCCAGGTGGGAACAGCACCGGGAGCACACGGCCCAGGGCCCAGCAGAGCCCGATGAAGCTCCCGTGGGCCCGGATGGAAACGCACGCTGTGTTCCCGCATTCGCAGTCGGATCCTGGAGCTTGGGAAAGTGCAAAACGCGGCCACGCGGGTCACGATGGCGTGAGGAGGGACGGGGGTCTTCCTGGCGCCACGGTTTTAAAGCCGGCGCAGGAGCGAGCCAGGCGCAGAAGGTTCCCAGGGCGGCACCGCTGCCTGTGCGGGAGGTGGGTGCGCGCGCCGTGCTCACGCTGGGCCCAGACCGCGGCGGTTTCTTGGTGACGCTGCGTGAGGGTCTGGGATCCGCGTGGAGGCTGAGGTAGTGACGCTGGGAAGCCACGCATCCCTGATTCCCCGCGGGACCCCGGTTCCCACGCGCGGCCGAGCAAGCGTGCGGAGGTGCGGGCGCTCCCTGCTCTGAGGGCTCCGTCCCCAGCCCCCAGGGGCTCTGATGGCTTCAGAATGACGACCCTGGCACCCCAGGAAGGGCTGGTTCCTTTATTCCCTGTCACCTGCCGGGCTTGCTGAGAAGGCCGAAACTGACCAGCAGGAGGCCCCGTGCAGAGCCAGACCAGGGGGCCATGCAGGCTCCCTCTCCCGCGCCTGCAGGGCCTGCCGGTCCACCCCCGGCTGCCCGAAGCCGAGAGCTCACAGGTCCTAAAGGGGCGGGGCATGGGCTGGGAAGAGCCTCAGGTGGCAGCCATGCCACCCACAATGCACTGGGCCCTGGGCTCGGTCAGGGTGGGGGAGGGGCCCGCAGCCCCCACAGAAGGGTGGAGAGGGGGGTCAGACTCCAGCACGGTTTAATGAAAAGGCAGGACGTGAGCTCAGCTGCAGGTGTGCGGGGCGGGGGATGGAGAGTCGGCCCCTCACTCTCCCGCGGGCACCTCAGGGCAAAGGCGGCCGGATTAGCTGTGTGCCTGCACAAAATGAAGAAAGACACCAATTGTTTTCCTGGACTGAGAGACGCAGGAGTGGGCCTCTCCCTGCACTCCCGGGAGGCTCCTGCAAACCCCGGAAGCCGCTGACCAGCACGGGCGGGTCTCCACCGCCCGGCGTGGAGGCCAGGGCAGCAGCTGCAGGCGGGGCTGTGTGAGCACGGGTGTGGCACTGGCCGTGGCTTTGGGAGCCCAGCCTGGCCGTGGTGCTGATGCCCTCAAGTCTGGTTAGAGAGCGAGGTATGGGGGAGGGCCCGGGGGAGGGGTACGTTACCCTCATCTGCTGGTAGATCCAGTCTGTGAACGCCGTCACGTTGCCGTACACCCCGGGTCTGTTAACTTTGGCACAGCCAGACCCCCAGCTCGTGTCCCCGATCAGCCACCAGATGTCATTCTTCAGAGTGACCAGAGGCCCGCCGCTGTCGCCCTGGGGGACACACAGGTTACTCAAGCAGCGAGCCAGGGGCCGGGAGCGGTGGGCAGGGCTGGGGGTCTCAGGGTCCACCAGCAGGAGGTGCTGTGGTTTCAGGTCATCACAGCACCTGTTCTGGGTGGGAGGAAGCCGCCCCCGCCCTGGGGGTTGCTGATGCTGCTGCCCCCAAGGCGTCCCTCCCCGGGCTGTCCCTGCGCGGGCTCCTGGCACCCGACTTGACCCTGTAATTACCTGGCAGGAGTCGATGGTCCCCTGCAGGTAGCCGGCACAGATCATGGAGGGTGTGATCAGGTTATTGTAGACGTATTTACTGTTGCATTTCCAGGACTCGATCAGGGGCACCATGGCGGCGTTCAGCAGGTCCGACGTCTTCCCTGGAGGGGGATGTGTGTGTGTGTGTGTGGTGGGGTCCAGCTGTCCGCGCTGCCCACGGGCCCCACTCTGCCAGACCACAATGCCCCTGTGCACATGGCCGCTTCCCACTGTCCTGGCTCCTTCCCACAGCCCAGGATGACATGAAGCCCGGCTCTGGACCCGGTTATCCTGACAGCTACAGGGCCCGTGTGGAAGGCAGCCCACGTTCAGCTCACCCAGAACCCCCCTCATGTGCCCAACAGCCGGTTCTGTGGGATCAGCTTCCCCTCTTCCCAGCCCCTCCTCCCGGGACCACTCCCGGGGCACACGGAGCGCCTGGGCTCCCACCCTCCATCCCAGGGCTGCCCGCTCCTGGCTCCCGGAGGGGCTGCACCTGCTCTCTGCCTCTGCAGCTTCACCGCCCGTCTAGCTCCCGCCACCAGGGGCCCCTCCAAAACCAGGCTTCCCTGCTGCCTCGCTGGCACTGTCTGCATCCCCAGGGCCCGCACCCTGCTCTTCAGAAGTCCCCAGTTGGCCGCTGGTCTCTCTGTGACCCCAATCTGCCCCCAGACAGCCACAGGGCCCGTGAGGTTTGTGGGCCTCACCGGTCTGACCCTAACCTGGATGAGCCCCCCACCTCCAACACTTAATGTCCTCCGTCATGGCTGACGGTGGCACCCGTTCCCCGAAAGCTGAGATGCCAGCACGCCCCCACCCCCGACAGCAGTCCCCGTCACTGGGCCTTTGCCTGCACCCTTGCTTTGGAAGGTTCCAGAAGAAGGCCGTAAGGAGTTTGTAACAGGAGCCTTGGTAGCGCTGAGGCCTCCAACCCTCCACAAAAAGGACCCCTCACTTGGAGAGCGTTGTCTGAGAAGGGTGCAGATCCCAGCTCAAGGGACTGAGCACCCCAGCCAGGGGCCCCGCTCATCCGGGCAGGCCATCCCGGCCATAAGCCCGTGCTCCCCATGTCTGTGGCCACCCCGCCATCTGCAGGGCCTGGTGGGCCTGCCAGGGCGGCTCTTGGTGACGAGACACGCCACTGTGGCCAGCATTCCTACCACGGCAGCTTCCACAAAGCCTGCGCTGATCTGATGGATGCCAGACAGGGCGGGCACGATTCTTCCCGGTCAGCAGACGGCAAGCCTGAGACCCGGAGTACAGCGCCAAGATTCCAACCCCGACCTCCCCCTGTGCTGTGCTCGGGGTGCCGGGGGTCTCACCCTTCTCGTAGGTAGCCCCCCACCCGGAAATCCAGCAGGG